AGGAATTCCCTTTCCCTCTCCAGGAAGAGAGAAGATCATCTCTTTTTGGACCAAAATTGACGCCTTCATGACCCAGCTTGAACGAACGAAGAACCTGTCTGAGTACATCTTCTACGATGGTCCACCATTTGCCACAGGTCTCCCTCACTACGGACACATCCTCGCCGGAACAATCAAGGACATCGTCACGCGTTTCAAAAATGATTACAAGACGATGGATTCGTCGTTTATGGAGAGTGTCTGGTGGGTTTTTGCGCAGCTTTGGGATAAGGGGCTTGTTTACAGAGCTTCAAGGTCTGACCTTTACCTCTATCTTAAACGATTTGCTAATTTCTGTGTATTTATCGTTTGAGTTCCGTGTACTGTTTCATGTTTGATGAACTCTGATTCTGTAGGTTATGTTTTAAAGGCACAGACACACACTAAAGAGCCTAGTTTTGGTTCCAGGAAATGCGAGGTTTGCATCTGGGCTCCAGACGTATTTGTTATCGAGGGATCATTCGAATTTGAAATCCGAGTTCCAGGGCACGGGTGGAAAGGTTCGTTACGGCCAACGTTATTTGTTCCTGTTTTCTTTTGTCCGGTAGCCACGAAAACTCATCTATCAAGCCCGGGCTTCTACTGACTTTGCTGTTTTTTTTTTTGGCAGATCACTGTAAACTGCATTGAAAACCAGCCTGATGTGGCTGTGGCTCTAGGAAAACATGTGTTCTTGAGGGTGGGGGGAAATTAGGGGTGGCCAATTCGGTTATTAACCCAATAACCGAAACAAATAAGACATAACCGTATTCGAACCGAATCCGACTTCAAAACCGAATAGTTATGATTTTTTTAAACCTAAAAAAAACCGAAACCGAACTGAATCGAACCGAATAAGAAAATAACTGAAAAACCGATATTTTTTTTGAAAAAATGAATTTTTTACCAAAACCGAACCAACCGAAAAATAACCGAACCGAATCGAAGTTTATATAAAAATCGAACGGCTATAGTTTTTCTATATCCGAAATAACCGAATCTGGACTGAAACCCGAAATGGTCGGGAATACTTCTTGAGCAAGAGGAATGTATGATTTATTACAAGGAACGGTAACAAGTAAGTTATTGAAGTGGTTGCAGAGTTCAGCTTTGGCAGGAAATTTTACATGTCTGAAAATTGTGGAAACTGCTTATAAATCTCTCAAACAAAAAAAATCTTACTATTTTCTAGACCCATTAATATTTGAATTATATCATTGTGCCATAATGTTATAAAAATAATGTACTCTTCAAAAATTTCCAAATTCATCGTGGGTCGAATTTTTTATGGCATTGAATTGAACATATGTCAAGTCAAGGTGGTCACGTCATCAATTTGGTTTTGTAAAAACGAATTAAATTTTCCTATTTGGTTTGACCAATTTGAACCGGATTTTAAATTTTTAAACCGAAACTTTTTGCTTAGGGAAATTCCTTTCTGTCCAAAGTCCATAGACATTTAAGGTAGAAAGAAGTTCCCCCCAACTTGATAGAGAGTATAATAATAAATCCCCCCGTATTCCTTTTTTTGTATTTTTGCGCAAAACACCGTGCCGTTTTGACCGGCCGGTTCGAGCAAACCGAGATTCGAACCAAATGAATACAACTCGGTTTTCTGTTTTCTTTCTTGTAGAGAAAACTTTCATAACCGGACACAATAAAAGAAAAGAATACGTTTTTTCTTACCATTGGCACTGTCTTCTTTCTTCAGCGAGTGTCGGAGGAAGACAAAACGTTTCCGTTAACCATCAGCGTTGAAGGGCGGGGTTTCTTGAAATGAGCTTGTCCCCGTGTAACGTTACTTTCCAACAGTCTATTTGGACGATGAAGACCGATGCCTTCTTTGGTACAACTGGCGTAAGGTTTTAACCCGAGTCAATAAGAGCTTTTGCAGGAGGAAAAGCAAAAGGGTGATTGGCATTTTATGTAATTTGCATTGGTCGGTGGAGGATATACCTCGGAGTTTATCGTCTCTGGTGATGATGCCAAACGTCTCTGATGTCTCTCGCACCATTATGCCGTGTGCTCCAGCGAATGATTCTATCTTGCATTCGGCAACTGCGAGAAGAAACACATGACATGATGCAAGATCTTCCAACGGACAGTTCATGAGCTGGTCTCTGATGTGTGTTTCATACATCCAGAGAAGGCGGTTTTTCAACTAACAGGCGCCGGAGAAGTATCGGTCCTCTAGCCGTACAGATTGCTTAGCGTAAAAGACAGACTTACCAATAACGTAAGCACCGTGAAAATCTGCAGAGATAAGAGATTGAGCTAACTGGTTCTTCCTGCAAAAAATAAAGTTGTAGAATAACGTCTGAGCTTAAAATGTGCGTGAATGCATCAATAATCCCCCTTCATATTATTACTGAGATCAGACAAGCGGTTTTACCCTGTCGCCTTGATGAGCTGTGTCATGTAACCTTCCCACATCTCATGCATCGGCTTAAACAGATCAAACCTGCATCCGAAACACAAGCAAACCAAGAAACATACCAAGACAGTTTAAAAGGATTAACATGAATGAGGAACACAAAGCTGAGAACAGAACAATCAGATCCAGTTCACTTTTCAGGACAACAAGGGACAACTCGAGAAAGTCCGAATTGAACTCACTTTTGCATATCCTTAGGTAATTGCAAAGCTCCAGATTTCTTGAGCTGTTTCATAGACATACGTCTTTTCGAGCGTTTTGAATTTTTCTGCAAGGCCTTTGTAGAGACTGAGGATGAAGCCCGTGATGGTACAAAATTATCGAGGAGGATCCAACTGTCCAGCTTCACGTTTTTAGAACCTTGCAAGTATTTCCGAGCTGAATCACCGCTTTGGAGGAGGTCATGCAAAACCTTGTCAGTGATGCTTCCTTTTGCACTAGAAAACTGCATGATAGAGGCACATACATACTGAGCAAATAGAACATGATGATCTCAGAATTCCATACCGGTGAACTCGACTAGCAGACAGAAGAAGAAAGTAGCTTCTTCCCCTCAAATATCGTAGGTTACCGTAATGTTGGTTGTTAACAAATTCTCGTTGATCGGGCACGAAAGCCGTGCATACGCAACATCATCTTCCTTTGCATCTACAAAACAAATGTCTGTCATAAACTCAGACCATAAAGTTGAAGTATGAGCACAACCACCGAAACCCGAAAATCCAAAACCTTTTGCAGGCAATGTGCTCGAAGAACTAGGTTGCAAATCAGCTCTAGAAGAGAAATCCGCATCAAGGGTTTCCTTCTTGTCTTTCTCATTCTTTTTTTGTTCCTGGAGAAGCTGAGCTTTTGCAGCAGCAAGCCTTCGTTGCAAGGCTTCCACCGCCCAGTTTCTCTGCTGTTGCACAACAGCCTGTGCTCCCATTGCTGCCTTGCCCTTATCAAATAATGAAACGGATCAGATATTTAAGGTATCGCGAGATTGGTTTTGAAAGCGAGCCTCTCCGACACGCAAAACTCAACCCCAAAAATCTACATTGTTCCACAACTTACGGAGATAAAATTACTATACGAACAGTCCCTGTAACCAAATCTATGCTAGAGATAAACAGTATCCGACCAGAAAGATAACCAACAGCCCAGAGAACGTAGAAAAAACTGAAATAGAGCTATGCTAAACCCTGATGGACCCTAATTCCGCATTGAAACCAAGCAGAAGCACAAGCAAAAGCGAAATCGAGATTACAAAAAAAAAAAAAGAGACAAAACCCCAATGCTCCAGAAACGAACTGTACTGTACCTCCAACACAATCAGGAACTGGGATCAAAACCTGATCTCCGACAAGAAGTCTAGAGAACAATGGGAAAGGAAGTACGACGTCCGAGAATTTCGTAGCAGGAAGGACCTCGGTGAGAAACTCGTAGGGTTTTTATATACTTGTTACAAAGATCTCCAAGATCAAAGAGAGGAAAAAGAAAAAGCCCATGGAGTTAGTTTACTAGTAAATGGGTTTGAATGCGGCCCATACAATGGGAACTTGACAAATTATAGCCCATTAAAACCCATGATTGGATTGTTTTTTTTTTACTACACCAAAATCTTTTTCACCGGCTTCTTTTTATATTTTAGACTTTTTTTTTAAAACATATTAACTTGGTTATTATCTTAACACAAAAAATATGAATTAACAAAATCAAACTAATATCTTTAGGTTCTTAATTTATTATTTATTTATTCATTTTTTATTTTTGAAATTATTTATTTTTAATTATAGATATAGTAGTGAAATTAATGGATATTATATAGATATATAGAATTAGATTAATTAATAATTTTTTTCTTTAGCAATCTAGATAATTATGAATACATTATTATAAAATTAAATAAAAATATTTAAAATAGAAATATTTAACAAAATATAATTATTTTTAATAAAAATTATTTTTATTTTAGATGAGATTTATTAATTTATAACTCAATAATAGATAAATTTTAAAAAAAATAATTATCAAGAAATTATGATGAAATTAAATGATAAGTTTTTTAGATGTTGTAAGCAAATTTAAAGTGAATCATTCAAACCGAATTTAAAAACAAATAGTTACCAATTTTATGAAAATAAAAGGTAATAAAAAATGTAAGAATAAACATATAAACAAAGTGTAAAATATATACATACATATACATATATTCATATGTATATATGTATATATATAAATATATATATATATATATATGCATTTTATATTTTTATATTTTTATATTTTATGAATATATTTTTATATATTATATTTATATTTTTTTGTATTGAGAATGTTCCATGCCACAATGATACGATAATCTTTTACAATTTTTTTATAGTAATAATATGTCATCTGAGTCCGTTAAATAACTAAATTTTTTAAAAGGATTGAAGAAAACTTATCAACATTGAGGATCGTCAAAACAAATTATTGATATCGATTTTATACACGGTCTATACCATATATTTATATTTATTTATCTCTTTAAATACATAATTTTATAATAATTTAATCTTATAAATATATTTTTTCTAAATCAAACAGGTAATGAATATCATTTTTTTTACAAAATCCATAAAAACAAGTGTTGGGATAAAATAATCAAATATCTTCACCTAGTTTTTATAATTAAGTTGGTATAAAAACTTAATTGTGAAAGTTGGATAGTTGATAGGTTATTTTAGTCATCCCTTTTATGAATTTTAATCGCGCGGCGGAGAGGGCCATGGTAGGGGTTTTCAAGGAAATCTCGACGAAGACGACACGGATTGGTCTTTGTATAGTTGTGTCTGGTTTTGATTGATTGGCTTAGTGTGGACCGAAACAGATATGTATAGATATCTCTGTGTGTGTGTATACTGTCAGTGATCCAAATGGTACCTAAAACAAAAGGCAATACAAGAATCACTTCACAGGATTCATTAGAGGGATGGAATTAACATGCTCGATTTATTTATTCTTTCAGCAAACGCATTACACAGATTCAAACCGAGAAAGAGAAGACAAAAAAATATGTGTATATAGATATAACAGAAGGGCAAAACCCGAGCAAGGTTTTGCCTCACTGATACAAATTTCACAAGGAAAAAAAAAACTCCATGGGTCCCCAATAGTAGAGAATGAATCAAATCAGCAAAAAAAAAAGTGAAATATCAGATGAGATAAATTCAACCTCGGGAAGTTTAAATCCAAAAAATAAAATAACGGCAATCTACCTCTAATCGGCCCTCCCCAACCAAAAAAAAAAAAAGAGAGATTAGGGTTTACCGTTGATGATCTCGAAAGGTGGAGGATTTTGTGAATTTACTGATGAATCTCGGTTGAAATCACTTAAATTCTTACTGGTATCCACCGTACGGGTGCTGAGGATTGTACCCGCCCGGACCCATCATCGGATTATAGCCGACTGGCATTCCAGGGCCGGGTCCCATCCACTGCTGGGGTTGCGTCGGGTAACCTTGTCCATATCCTCCTCCCATGCCCATGCCCATGCCCATGGGTTGATGGTTCATGGCTCCATAGCCACCGGCAACGCCTCCCATGGGCATGTTGGGCCCAACCATTGGAGTCAGTGGAGGCCTCATGCCGCTAGCCCCGGCTCGCCCCAAGCCTGAGCCCGATCCCATGGCTTTACCCATTGTGACTGTGGATGTTACTTGTTGAGTTGTTGTCTGTTTCTCCATCCGTTTCTCTTTCCTGTTGATGGCGTCGAAGTCCACTCCTATCTCTGCCAATGGGTTTGTTTTAGCTGCAAGAAAGTGAAGATGAGAAAAATGTTCCCTGTTCGTTAAAAGCAAATATGATATCGTCGAAATCATAGCTTACGTCCAGATATGTTCAAGTTAACAAGCCCCCTGCTCAATGTGTCTGCCCAGATTGCTGATTTCGGCTCAAACTTCTTCTCAACCTGTGGCCGAGGAACAATATCAAGTACTCCCGCTGAAGGTGCGAGATCTGGAAGAGAAGATGATGTCCCCAGTGAGGAGCTTGGACCAGTTGACGTGAAAATGTCACCAAAGGCATTGTCGCCATGCTGGGCAACAGGACCAGGAGCCAGCTGCTGCGGCATGAAGTTTCCACCATCAAGCTGACCAGCCGGTGCACTGAGTGTACGGTACGGAGTTTGAGAGCTCGATGGAGGAGCAGGAACCGGTTGCGGAAGGTAGCTTCCGCTAATAGGTTGGGGAGCATACTGTGGAATTTCGGAAGTTGCAGGACCCTGCTGATGCATGAAAGCTCCACCGTTGTTAAACAGAATGCCTCCTCCGGTCAGATTCTGGGGCTGAGAAACCATGTTATATGGGTGCGGACCTTGACCAAAAGGAGTCTGGGCCGGCATGTTTGGAGCTGTAGATACTACCTGAGGATGAAAGTTCTGGTACATGTTACCATTGGGAGCAAATTCAGATGTCGGAATTGGGGGACCTGGTTGTAAAGGTAGAGAAGCCGGAGGTCCGGAGGGTGGGAGAATGCCTGCAAGAATATCGAGTTCACTTTCTGACGTGGTTAGTTCCTCTTGAGAGAAAGCTTGTGAGCTTGATGGAGGTTGCATATTTGAGACACCCGGGTTAGGATTAGCGACAGCAGAGAATGAGTCCCCGAAGCCAAAGTTATCAGTAGTATCAGATTTCGGGGCAGCCAGATGCGAGATCTCCGTGGTGTGGTTCGGTGGTGTTGGCTGGAAAGGATTTGCAAAACATTGCTGCGGGGTCGGGTCAGTGTCAGCAGAAGGGATGGCTTTAAACGGAGAGTCACCAAATGGATCATCGAACGGCTGCATAACAGGAGAAACATTTACACAAACAAGATTCAGATCTAGACATGACGTAAAAGAACAGAATATTTCTTGTGCAGACTTCCACAGAAACCAAGAAATGCTCAGTGCAAAACCATGGAAAAGAGCCTCAAGCGTATCCGAGTAAACCCAATGTCAATACCTGCGACGATGACAGCTGAGATACAGCAAATGACGGAGCAGGACCAGAGTTTGCTTGTCCATTGATTTCAACCGAAGCAGAATCACCAGGCACAATTGCCAACGCGTTTGGTGCAAATACATCTGAAAGAGAGCCGAGCAAGTCCATCTCAACATTATTTGAAGTGGGCGGGGCGGATGTCGGAGGGCCAGATGCAGGAGCTAGAAAAGTATCTACAGGTGCAGATGCTGGAGGACCAGCCAGAAAACAGAAAAATATTATACTATGCATGATATCTTTATAATACAGCATTAAATTTTGTGAATATAATATGGAACAAAGTTGTCTCTTCAACTAAATGGCTCGATGAAAGCCAACAGTAAGAACTACCAGCATGGCATTTGGATAGCTCAGACTACATTCCTAACAAGCAGGCCTTGGTGGAAAACCAGTATTACAAAGCCCATATCAGAACCCAATTCTAAGCTTCCACTGAGAAAGTAGGTTATAGTGACTTCATGAAGATTTCCACAACAATGACAATGAATCCTGATGCAGCGGATGACGAGTTTGAAAGGCCAAACAAAAGCTGAAAGAACTTTGCTGATACAAGATAGTTGCATGCTTAGAAGACTCTATACCTGAAATTGGACCACGTGGGTCAAATTCATCAAAAGCTTCAACTTCCTGGGTTGGAGGAGATGATTCGTCACCAAAACCAGTAGGGGTTTTGTCTGCACTGTTTTCAGTATAAGGAGAAGCAGCTCCTGACACAGCTCTTGAAGCAGCCATCTGTGTCTGCGGATTCTCTCCTCCATCCCTTTAATCAAAATTCCAAATTAAATAAATCAGAATCACTCACAAAGAAGGTAGTTGTCAGTTAGCACAGTTGAGAATTTTATTTCACCTTTCACTGTGCACAGGGCTCCGTGATTCGTTAATAGCTTCTTCGTAACTAGGTGGGGCACCAATATTTTGCTCAGAAAACTTGCGCTCGAGACGCCTGATATCAAATCCCAAAAGAAGGAAACCAGTTGACATTTAATACATAAAGGCTTAAATAACGTCAGCATAGTCTTAGAATTTACCTCCCCTCCTGATCCTGAGAATGATCATCAGGTCTGGCACCATTGCCCCTGCTGGATGAAAAGGATTGAATCAAATCATATTCTAGAACAATTAAAAGGATGCCATAGTTCGTAGTAGTTCAGAAGATTTTCAGGACAAGCATTTCCATAACGAGGAAAGTTACCCTCTTCTTCAAGGTTAAAAAAAGTTTAATCTCAATAGAATTGATAACTTTTCAATGATATCTCCCATATTGTAGAGCTTAAGTAAAAAGGAGAAATATACAGTTTAACTATTTAAATTCAAAAATTTACCGTGATGAAGACTGGCCATCATCCTCAGAAGCCCGATCTCTGTCAGAACTCCTACTTCTTGACCCATATTGGTTATCAATACTTCTCTTCCCTCCACCGTAAGCATCATCCTCAAATCCATCTCTCCCATACCGATCTTCAGAGTCTCTGGAGTGACGATCTCCATCACGACTATATCTGTCATCATCCCTGTAGCCATATTCTCTTTCTCCTCCATAACTACTCCGTTCCTCATCCCTACCCCCATAGCGGCTTTCGTAATCATATCTGTCATCATATCCTCCCGAAGGCCCATACATCCCACCTGCTGCTGAGCCACGATACCTGTTGTAAAATAGTCTCTGTTATACCATGTTCAGGAATTGAAGCCGTGGTTTTAGTATAAAACTTTATCCTCATCTTATAGTTTCCCACACAAAAAAGCTTGACCACCGCATGTACTTCCCAATAGACAGAACGGTGCAGAAAGCCATGACTTTCTTTCGTAGGGTATACAGATTCCAAACTTAATCGAAGCTAAGGCTGTTAAAGGGCTACTGGGAAAAAGTAACTATCTCAGTAAGAGACCAAGAGAGCAATGGCAGAGTAAAATGCCAATAAAAGCTTGATATAAAGCCAGTAGAAATCAAAGAATGGCGCACAAGATACCAACCAGAAAGGAAAAGAATAAGAAATTTCAGAACGCTACGCTGAGACATAGACTTACTTGTCCCTGTTAGCAGTCGCCTTCTGCCTGGCCTCCTCTAGTCTTTCTTTGTCGTTCACCAAGGCCACAAGGCTCTGTGACTTCTTCCTAATATTGCTACCTTGATCCCTACCACTGGAATCAATATATTGAAAATCGGCCAAGGTCTGCCAAACAGTAAAGAGAAATATTTCTTGAGTAGGATAACCGACTGTTGAAATTGAAAAACAGGTAGCAAGTTTCCTTCTTGATGAGCATTTCCAAAATAAATAAGTAAGAATAGTTAGTACCGATATTTGATATGCGTGTTCTCGAATCTCATCAATGACACGTTCTGACCCATTGCTTACCATGTACTCCAAGATTGTTAAAGCCTGAAGTGCAAAGAAAAGATAAACCAACTATGAACAGTCTCATTAACTGTTACAGCAGAATGAGCAGTACAAATAGTAGTACAAAAAGTAGCAAGACATATATGTTCTTGACCTTATAAACATGCCGCCAATTTTTTCCGGTGTCGCTAAGTCGTTTCCATATGACACCCATGATCAACTGGTACTCATGGCTACAGGGGAATAAACATATTATATCTCCACACCAAAGCACATCCAGAAAAGAAAAACAACAGAAAGAAATTTGTGATTACTAATTTCTCGAGGCTTGCGCAATATCAGCAAGAAGTGATCCATGCGGACCCCATGGCTCATTGCTTGTAGCATCCAGAACCTGAAAGAGAAGAATGAGAAGAGAAACACAATATACGAAAGGAATGTTGGAAAAATCTCCCTTTAAATTCCGTAACCTTTGCCAGCAGACAACGAGGAAGAATCCAAAATAAGACCCATGACATCTTTCAATTTTTCATATTGAATACAATAAGATCATTCATCTTATAAAACGAATCAACTCAATCGCTTCCGGAGAATTATTCTGGACGAGAGACAGCACTGTAATCCAGGCTTGTATAAACTTCAGTAAAAATAATTAATTTGGAAAATAAGCTAACAGCAAGCTTTACCTTCTGTTCTATTCCGGGAACTTTCAGCACTTTCTTGTTAACCTCTCTTTTGCTGTAAGGTGTAAGCAATTCAATCAACCAAAACCATAAGGACTTCTTTAAGGACAAGTAAATAATATATGCACGGAATCACTTAGATGAATGTCATTTAATGACAGTGCAGTGCATTCTAATTCACACTACTTACATGTCTCTGACAGTTTGACCAAAGACTTTCTTCATCTCTGAAGCTTTTCCACCAAAACTTCACTCTGAAACAGAAGAGCCAGGCCCCCTCTCCCGGGTCGGCGAAGCTTTTCTGAGTACCTTAATTGCCAATTATCCAAAAAAAGATCTAAAGATCATTCATCACCAGGAAAGGATTTTATAAAAAGTCCAACTAATACAAAAGGTTGAGCATTTGAAACTGGGAAGACACAAAAAACTGAAAAGCGGAGATTCAAAATCAATAAATTTTCAACCTAACCTAACGACACAAACCAGCATTAGATCTTCAGCTAAGATGGTCCAAAAGTAAATCAACCATGAACCACAGAGGCAAGAGATTACCAGAAAAATAACACATCAAGATACGCCAAACCCAACACACCATTAAGGTAATAACGCAAAACAAGTTAACATGAACATAATCAAATACATCAACGGAAACAGCAATTTACATACAAGGAAAAGAGACTTCCCATAAAAGCCCAGATCACGGAATCAATGGGAGGGTACTAGAGTCCAGCGAAATGGGGTGAACATGTTCTATTTATCGCTCAGACTCAAGCTAAACATTCTCTACAACATGAAAGGTACTCCAGCGGAATACGATGCCGCGAATTCAACCAAACAAATTAATAAAAGGTGAAGTCAAAACAAAAATCCGGATTCCAAGCCCGTTTGAGATCGAAATTCGAATCGTAACAGCGAACAATAGATCAACGCGAAGTAAAGAGAAACAGCAACATCCAAATGGAGCTTATCATAGACCTGAAACGAATATAATGCCCACAAAAAGTATAACAAATGGTTCTATTAAGGCAAATTCGTAACCAGTAATCGAACATAAATGTAAAAATTAAGCTGGATAATCGAAAGAAACCATAGACCTAAGAAAATAACAAAAAATCGTAAACTACAGAGACGGTAACATGATCCCTGATCTTAGCACAACGAGATCAAACCTGCTAGAATCCAAACTCGACCGTCAAATGGAACCGGATCGCGGATCCGGTGAGATACAGGGAACACGGAGACGGAGAGAGAGAAAAGGAAAAGACGACGAAATCCTGAGAAATGCTCGAGGTGGAGATGGTCTCCCTTCTGCGTCTGGTTTCGCTCCTCTCCCTCTTTCTTCGGCGTCTTCGCTCCCAAATGACGGGTTAGAGAGAGAGATAGCACCGAAATGAGAAAATTAAACAAAATGATTAAAACAAATAAAGAAAAAAAAAATTTAAAAAAAAAAAAGAGAAATAAAGACAGCGCATCTAACACGCAGGAAATTAAGGGTCCGAAGCATTTGATCGGTTCACCGCTCCCTGTCGCTCTTTTCTCTTCCCTTTCCTGTTCGATTATACAGCTGTTTATTTTTATTATTCCATCCGTTTTCTCTTTCTAACATATTTTTTTTTAAAAAAAAAGATTACCTAAATTTTTTTAATGGAATAAGTATGAAAATAACTAAAAATAAATCAAATATTTTTTTTAAATAAAATATATTATATGAAACATACACAAAAATAAATTAAAATTTAAAACTCAAATCCAAAATAAGGAAGACAAAATGTTCCCCTAATTAGATATATATGATTTGGATGGAAATTTTCCAAGTCATAGATACGTTAGATAAGACGAGAGTAAATTTCTGTAAGTACCACAAATTGTCTTTATCTCCATTTGGAAACAGCATGAGTGGTCATCTACTGCAATATATATGTATATATATATATATATGTATATATATATATATATGTCCGTGACAAAACAGAAACTTATTTTAATTATGGTAGTTTATTGGGGTTCACTTCCAATTATATCGGTTTAAAAAAATTGTAACTTAATATTGAATTTGGTCTACTTCGATTTGATTATATTGAAGTTTGGTTCGAATTCAATTTTTATTTAAAAAAATAGTTTTTTCGTCCGTTCGAGGTTCGGAATCTATTCGGTTACGGTTACATGATACTTGATTCGATTTGGTTTAGTTATTAGCTAATTAACGAGATAAATCACCCCTAATTTTAATATATTGATTATTACATAATCTTCTTACCATGTGAATTATCCTATATTTCTTTTGGAATATTAGTGTCGCTTGAATTTCGTCTGAAAATTCTCAATCCATACGTGGACGATGTTAGGCTAGTAATAACTTATATGTATGTATACCACTTTATTTTACGGAATAATAAGCCTTCATCAAATATTGATAATTATTATAATTGGGACCGCATAAATAGCATATTAGATATAACATCAGACAAATATTTATTTTGCAGAAGAATCAATGACCCAACTAAGATTGTAACATCTTTGCATGCATTAAGTGGGCCCTCCGGGAATTTGGGTCGGGCCCAACTTCTATTATGGGCCTTAAAGTGTCCATCGGATCTATAACTAAAACAAAGTTTTTGCCTATTCATTCATTAGGTTGAAATATTAAATATCGGATCAAATATTCAACCAGATCTAACCTTTTATATCAACGGGTATTATAAATTATATTTACATATATTCATGATTTCTTTTAAATCATTACAGTGCAATCTGATAAACGAATGTGATCAACTGTATCTTTTGAAAATAAAATAATAATATTAAAAAGTATATAGTATATTTAAAATTGAATGGATTTAATTTACCCATCCATGAAAAGGTATATAGCTGTTTTACTTGTACGTTTTTTGTCGTGTAGAATAATAACATACGAGACGCCATGATATATTGAATATCCAAACAAACATACGTACGTACGCACCTTTCTCTTTCTATTTTTAGAAGCTAGCGTGGATCTTGTTCATGTATACACGTATACATGTATACATACACATACGTATAAATGTATACGTACACGTAGTTTCATGAAAGATTAGCAAGTTGTGGGTTTTAATTAATGCAACTTACGCAAATAGCTCACATTTTAAAAGGATCCACTTGGCAAAAGCAGTCCACTTGCTCATGGAATAATTTTATCCATCCACTTGACGAAACGCAAAAGCATGACGTGGCATTATCACAGGCACCATTTGGATTTTTGGACGTGCCCTTCACTTGCATTTTATAAAGGTTTTTAATTTCTTTTTTATTTTTTTGAATTTAAAATTCTTTTTTTTTATTTATTGGTAATTTGATTTCAGTACATCGAATTGAAACGGGTAAACAGTTTTCGACTTTCCGGGAATCCATGTGCGCCGCCCGAGAAACGTATCCACTTGCATTTATAATAAAAATAAAATTCTGCCTACATGTCTCAAGGAATTATTTAGTAAGATGGTTTATCTGGTTAACAACATCTTAATCGAATAATATATGACATAAATCTAATCAATAGAATGAATGGTTATTATTTATCTAAAACTAAAAATATCATGAATCCATGCCAAATCAAATTAAAAATAACCGAAAAACATAAATTTTTGTAAGTAAATAAATAAATATTTTTATCTTAATACCCAATAATACCCAACCGATTATAATTTTTTTAAAACCGAAATAATCGAACTCAAATATAACTAGATCCGAACGGAAATCCGAATAAATCACCATTAATATTATGTCATTGACCAGTTTGTTCAGTCTAATGTGAACAATAATACAGTAATAACAATACAATATAATACGTATATATGTACGTTGATGTATACTTGGATTGAGGTTTGAGAATATGTTGATGGTATTGAAGCTTTCGGTTTCTTATGTGTGTTTTTTGGTTGTATATATGTTTCCATTGTCAAATGTATAACGTATGGTCGGGAATGCATAAGCGTTGAACTGTAGTATCTAAAAAAGTTGATATTTCTTAAGATTCTTTTCATATCATTTTTTCTACCAACGCCAATTTTTCAATTAATAATTTACGTTATAAGACAAAAGGTATTGGGTTTTCCCCCATGGACCCATTCCTCTTTTAACGTTATATTTTATTTTTAAAACAAACGGAATATAACCCTACCTCTCTCTCTCTCTCTCTCTCGATTCCCTTCTATCACTAGAAATTTTTTTTATAAAAAAAACAACTTTTTTTTGTTGATGGATGGGGAAACAGGTTTCTCTTTGGGACGACCAAGCGGCGGAGGATACGGCGGCAACCACCGGAGGCCGGCGAGGCCGAAGGCGGAGCTGAGCTTCGGGACGGCTGATCATCGTTCTCTGGCGAGGATCTCCTCGGAGGTTGAGGAGACAACCGCCATTAACGCTGCGTCGAGCAGCTGTATGGGCTTTGGAATCGATAACAATCATCGCTCTTGGGACACTTCTTCTTCCAACATCAGCTTCGCCATAGATCAACCCGGAAAACGATCCAAGACTACCGATTTCTTCACCCTAGAAACTCAGGTATACACACACACACCCCATATATATACATACATATGTTGATGAAATGTGAAGGGTAGCTTCAAGGAATTGTCCGTATATATAATATAATAGGAACCCCCTTGACCTAATCCTTTTCTATGCTTTCAAGCTTAGGTGATTGGCTACCAATCCACTATTTTTTGTTTGTTCACTAAGCTGTGTCCGTACGTGCTTTTGTGTCTGCAACGTTTACATCTCTTATTGATAACATGCCATTTTCTTGTAACGGTAGCATGAGAAACAATATGTAAAAAATTAGGGCATGAACCTCAATCCACTTGAAATTTATAGCAAATTTTTTATGTACGGCTCCCAGGTTATGTTATGTGTTCAAGAATGTGTGTGTGTGTGTGTGTAGTTGCATAAGCTAGGAATGTGTCAAACTCAAAAATGTAAACTATATGGGGTGTTTCGGCATATATAAGAAACTATATATATTCGGGCATCCACTTGAGATTTATAGCTAATTTATATGCATGGCTCGCTGGTCATTATGTGTTATATTATATAATAACTTATATATATACATAGTTGCATAAGCTAGGAAAGGTCCATATGGAATTTGACCGAAAGATATACACATACATATACATACGCATACACATACACATATACAATATAAGAGAGATTTTGGTTCTCAGTTCAGCATGCCACAGACGTCACTGGAGATGGGGCGAATGGAGAGCTTAATGAACATCCCCGAAGATTCGGTCCCTTGTAAGATCCGGGCGAAACGCGGTTGCGCCACTCACCCACGCAGCATCGCCGAAAGGGTCTGCCCTTCTCTAACTCTTTAATTTTGCATATATATATATAGAGAGATATATGTGTATATATATATATCGTGTGGTAAATGAGGTCTAGTAATATATTTTTTCCATAGCGTGAAAATAAAAAACAAAAACAATTATTGAAAAATTAAAAAAAAGAATTTTATAATAAAAAAAAACAAAGAAGAAAAGAGAAATGTTTGTTTTAAATTGCTTTTTGTTATTTGCTTCATGAAAAATTACAAACTCATATAAGTATTTATATACACACCAATACACACACATCACACATTTAATATGAACTTCGATTCACATACATTTACACACTTACATCCACATATACAAAACTCATCAAACTACTATTGGCTCACAATATTTTTTTTATTCTTTAAGAATGTTGAATCTTAATGGTGATAGCGCCTTTGTAAAAATATTTGGTTTCCAATTTTTGCAATAAGTGAGTTTGATGATTCCTTCATTCTCATCTCATGTGACAGATATGATATTTGATCTTCATATATTTTGTCTTTTTTTGTGTTAGACTAGGTTTTTTCAAATGGCCATTGTCAATCTATTGTCACAAAATATTAATATATTTTCCTCTTATTTGTATCTCAAACTCTCAAATAGATTACACAATTATATTGTCTGATTCACTCGTATAACTATAGAAATATATTATGTTTCTGCTATTGATTGAACAACAACTTTTTACTTGTATGACCGACAGAAAAATACTACACTTCCCAAATTAAATACGTATTCGCTTTACTCTTCATGTCCTTCTGACTTCCGTCCTAATCACTATCACAATATATATTTCTGCAATAATGCCAAAATTTCGGGTTAATTTGAAGTGTAAACTAAGATCAATAATTCTCTTGATATATCTCAAGACTATCTTTTTTGTTGGTAATATGTGTCATCAGGGTTTGCTAATCATGAATTTTGAAAGATAGCTTGCATCGAACATGAGATCGAGTCTTATGGCTGTCAGACACAATAAATTGTTCACCATGCTTTTGTATTCTATAGCATTTATTTTTTTCTTCTCTTTTTTAGTTTTCTTACCATGAGGTTCCAATGGGACAGGTTTGCAATCCATCATATTATTGAATTTCTCCAATATCTTCTTTACATATTTGAGACAAAAAAACTCCATCAAGACTTTGATATATCTCTATACCTAGAAAATACTCCATCCTACCAAGATCTATAATCTCGAAATAATTCATCAATTCTTCTTTGAATCGCTTTATCATTTTCTCATTTGCTCCATGCTACACTCATAGTGTTCATATAAACTGAAATGATCAATATGTCTTCTCCAAATATTCGGATATATAAACCGCCTTGTAGACATCTCTATAAGCCTTAATTTAGAAAATAACCATCATTTTTATTATATCATATGCTATTAGAGCTTGCTTTCTCTTTTATTTAAAATCTTTGAGGTTGCTCCACAAATACTTGTCTGAAAAATCTCTATTCAGAAATGCAGATTTCACATTCATATGATGCAATATCCACTTCTTTTGTGTCGTAATTGACTTAATCAAATTGATCATATCATATCTTAATAGACGACACAAATCTTAGTGTAATCTTCACCGTACTTTTGAATGAAACCTCTTGCAACCAATCACGATCAATACTTTTATAAAGATCCATCTATTGCAGTCTTGTAGATCCACTTGACCGTGATGGTCTTCTTATCTTGGGGTCTCTACCAATTCCCAAATGTTACTTTTTTTATCATGTTGATTTTATATTCTATTATCTTTCTCTATTCAGAATATATATTCTATATCATTCTCAAAGATTATTGGCTCAACCAAATACAGAAAACATATATCTATGATATCTGCTAAATAATTTAATACTCATGGAATAATAACAAGTAAACGACCCATAATTCTTATCTTGGATTTCGTGGTGGTATTAAACTTCCATCGATTATACGTTCTTCAATGTTTATAGATTGTGAACCACTTGATTCTCCTATTCCAATAGATATCATTGGTTCAGTTGTAGTAGTCTATGGAAAAGGGTCTAATGTAGGCATTTGGATAGATTTACCACATTCTTGGTTTTTATTCTAATCTCAACGTTTGCTTTCATCAAAGTAACATATTGTGCGAAGCTAGTGGTATTTGTGGAGTCTCCACGGGTTGTGGTTGAATTTTGTTCTCAACGATATCCCATAACTCTCTCAACATCATTGTCATCTTCATTCGTACAACCCAATTCTCATAATTTTGTTCGTCGAAAATTGCAACGGGGTGAATATTTTGTTGGTTTATCACCATGGTGCTACTTGCGTGATTGTGTCTCTTGTGTTTGTAATTGAGATTAGTATTTCCCTTGTGTTTATTGCTTGTGTGCCTTCTCGTACCTAATTAATTTTGTTGTGACGTTGTGTTTCGAACTGATTTAATCTCTAATACCATCTTGTTGAAATTGAAGTTTTTATTAAAATCCAGTTTCTTAGTATTTATTTTCTCCATAGTATCATATGGTGCAAAAATAAAAGCAAAAATAATTCTTGAAAAATCAATAAAAAGAATTTTGTAATAAAAAACGAAGAAGAAGAGAAATGTTTGTCTTAAATTGATTCTTGCTATTTGCTTATGAAAAATCACAAGTCCATACCGTATTTATACACACCAATATACATATCACACATTTAACTTTAACTCCCACTCACATATATCCAATATTACATATTTACACACTTACATCCACACATCAAAAGTCATCACACTCAACCTATCGACTCAAATATTTTGCCATTCTTTAATAATGTGGATCAATTGTATCAATACACATCGAAATATCACAAAAGATATTAATGTTAATTAGGGTTAATCTTTTAGTGTTTTTGGTGCTATCATGGTGGTATATATGTCTATGCATATGCTTACGCAGGAGAGAAGAACAAGAATAAGTGGGAAACTGAAGAAGTTGCAAGAATTGGTTCCCAATATGGACAAGGTGAGAAGAGAGTATATATATTGATGTTCAGGATAGTTTTCCGGGCTTTCGACCTGACTACATTTATCCTAGGTCCGGGACCAACCTTTGAATATGGACCATTTTGATCCAATTATATATATATATATATGTATGTTTGTGTATATCCCTAAAATATAGTTGTGTAAGTATAATCGCCGAGCTCTTGTAAAACTTGGCAGCAAACGAGCTACGCGGACATGTTGGATTTGGCTGTGGAGCATATCAAAGGTCTTCAACACCAAGTAGAGGTGCCTTAACATTCATTCATACATATACATATATATATATCATCACATATACAAGGATATTTCTTCGTATGAACCCATTAGTAGACAGTATGTGCTTATTTTTCTTGATTCTCGGTTTGCAGACACTGCGGAAGGATACGGAGAAGTGTACTTGTGGGTGCATGCAATAGGAGATGTTTTTGTCTTACTTCCAATCTCGAAGGAACCTTAAAGACATTAAAAAAAAAAGCCAACACTCAGTTCCAAGGGTTTTGGAGCAACCACTAAAGTCTCTGACTTGCAATAAAAGGTCCGAAATATAGCTTAGAACAGATTATGATTTAAACATGCATGCGTGTATATATTATACTCGAAACCGTTTTGATATTGGAGTTCATACGAGGAAGAATCTGATTTTTGGAATGTCGCGACAAAAATCCAAACATGGTTTATGTATGAAGGTTACATATTCAAATAGATAACATGAGGTAGGGATCTATTCTAATGTAAATAGACGTTATTTGATAGATATATACTGACGTATACAAATGATTCTATAATTCTTCAAAATTCATTGCACTCGATCCTCAATACATACACGATGTTTCATTATTTTCAATGCATCGAGGCCAAAGTTGTAATGACTATATATATATATACACACACACACAAACGATGTGTTTTCATATATGATAAATATGGAACGAATAAGCTATTTCCAAACTATTATTCATTAGTTTGGTTAGAATAAACAATGGTTAATATTTATTCGTTATCATTATTTTCTAAAAAATATTTTCATTTACGATTTAGATTTAATTCATGTTTTTAAAATTTTAATTTAAAAAAAAATGTATCCAATTTTGAATAAATTCTAATAGAATATAATTATGTTAATTCGTTATCATTCAATTTTGTATATCATAACTGAACTGAATATTTATCATTTTTGCATTTTAAATAAAATAATGGAATGACACAAAATATATTAAAAAAGGAAATAATTCTCCGAAAGTATATGAGTGATGATGAACCCACTTCATGCGCAATACTTGCCCTCACTGACATCCTAATAACACCACAGTCCACCACCATAAATCTCTCTCTCTCTCTCTCTCTCTCTCAAGAAGAAGATACGGCAATGTCGGACAACGAAGGCGGGGAAGAGTACCTCTTCAAGGTAGTGATAATCGGGGATTCTGCCGTCGGGAAATCTAATCTGCTCTCTCGGTACACACGCAACGAGTTCAATGCGCACTCGAAGGCCACGATCGGAGTGGAGTTTCAGACACAGAGCATGGAGATCGACGGGAAGGAGGTCAAGGCTCAGATTTGGGACACCGCTGGTCAGGAACGCTTCCGCGCCGTCACCTCCGCCTACTACCGCGGCGCCGTCGGAGCCCTCGTCGTCTACGACATCACCCGCGGATCCACTTTCGACAACGTGGGTCGCTGGCTCGACGAGCTCAACGGTATCTACTCCCCATTCTCTTGAGCTGTTTTTAAGCCCTCGCACTTGGTTCTTTGGGTTGAGTGTGGTTTTGATTGGTGTATAGGTTTAGGTGTTTGATGAATTTGGTAGAAATTCGGGCGACATTTTAAGGACGGAAGCAGACTATGATGTTGATTTTGAGATACTGTTCTCTCGCAATTGGGTTTCTTGTGTTTGTGGTGCTGAAACTTTTGATGTATTTCGTCGAGAGAGATCAGATCCTCCATAGAATGATGGCAGTGATGGTGTTTAGATATGAAGAAGGGTCATCGATGATGATTTGATTTCTCCATGTAAAGTCAAAATTAGTGCCCTTTGAGCATTGGAAGTGTAAACTGATGAAGTCAGAAAGGCATTGGCGAAGTGGGGGATGTCTCTCTTGTTATCCGGCACTATCATATGAAAGTCATTGGCTGTCTGGAAACCAGTGTGTGTTTCAGTCGTTAAACATTCTTCTCTCCGGCTCTGTGTTTCATCGTCTAGATTATCCGGAAAGAGCTTGCATTTCAAGGGCTCATGATTCCGTCTTGTGTGCAGCTCATTCAGAAACAGCAGTGGCAAGAATGCTGGTGGGGAACAAACGCGATCTCGAGAGCATCAGAGCTGTGAGCGTCGAGGAAGGCAGAAGCCTTGCGGAGTCTGAAGGGTTGTTTTTCATGGAGACTTCGGCATTGGACTCAACCAACGTGAAGACAGCTTTTGAGATGGTGATTCGGGAGATTTACAGTAACATTAGTCGAAAACAACTGAACTCCGATACTTACAAAGCTGAACTAACCGTCAAAAGGGTAAGCTTGGTGAAGAACGGAAACGACGGCGCAAAGCAAGCAACGATGCTTTCCTGCTGCTCAAGTTAACTTCTACATCTGCTTTCCCGTGTGATTCCAAGGTTGGTTGGTTCGCTTTCTCACCAAATCAGACTTAGAACTTATAGGGAGAGCGATGTTTACACACACACACACACACACACAAAAGAAATGGTAACAGACACAACAAAACAAATTATCAACCATTATGGTTATGTGGGACTCTTTACATCAGTGTACAAGTTATGTTCTCCAAGTCTTGTTTCCTTTGTTTATCTATTTGACAGTATTGTTCCCCCTTTATCGTCTTTCTGATATTGTAACAGATCTTTGTATACCATAGTGGTTTGTTCTATATTTCAATCTAATATTTAATGGGTAGAGAAGATAATGTCTCATTTGTCAAATAGAAGGGTGGCAATATTTGCCTTCACAGCAGAAACTTTAGCAGTGAGCATATAGACTCTTTGCCTTTGGAAAGCAAACAGAGATGAAAGGGTTTGGTTGGTGGACGAGGAAGATCATAAAAAAACAGAGGCTAAGGACAACAAAACGCTTGTTTGGTCTCTTGAAACAAAACAAAAAAAAAAGAAAGCAAATACAGAATCACATAATGCCCACACAAAGCACACATCTTATTGTAAGGGACACTCACACTGGACCTGCAGAACAAAGAACAGAACAGAGGGGAGAACTGTTAGGAGGAGTGAGAGTTGGGAACGGAAACATGGGCATTGAAACAACAAGCGCAACATCTGAGATGTGCATCTTCAGCAGTCAGTCACTGGTGACAAAAACAGCAGTCCAGTATGAACAATGATGATAGACACAATTTCCCAAGATCCACATCACGAGATTTCAGAGGTATTGTGGGTTGGCTTGTAATTGGAGGCTGTATCTTAGCAAGCAAGCACAGGAGGATATGAATGCCAATGAAATAACACAAGGAGAGGAACTTGAAACATCTCAGAACAAGAAACGACCCTCACTGCCTCACATATAGATACTTTCCCATGACAATCATAGAGCAGGAGAATGCGAAACCCAGTGTATGAATCGATATAGCAGGCTTCTCAGATTGTACAATTCGATGCTCAATGATGATCCTTCTATCAAATCCCTACCCAGTTTAATCATCATCACAAATGACAAGGCAATCACATTTCAAGATTCAAAAGTAATACCTGAGACAATCAGGCTGATGATGCAGATGGTATCATGCCGGTGCTCCGGGCATATGCGAAAATGCCGCCGGCATCGATGACCGGTCCGGCGTCGCCGATGGGCTTCAGCTTGTACTCCTTCCCCGTCGTATGATTGATCAACACGCTATCGTTTTCCTTCAGCTCGATCGTCACCACGTCCCCTGTCTTGCACTCCTCACAAACCCTAACCTCCGATTCCAGAGGGTAAATCTCGCCGGTGGCCACCGAGTTCCTGAAGAATATCCGGGCGTACGATTCAGCCACCACGGCCTTCGTCCCGGCGGCGCCGAGAGCCACCGGAGCGTGCTCACGCGACGATCCGCAGCCGAAGTTGTCGCCGCCGATGATGATGGAATACTTCGTCTTCATCTCACCAGGCTCCACGAAGCGCGTGGTGTAGGATGCAGGAAGGCCAATCATCGCGTAGGAGCCGAGCTTCTCGTATTCATCCGGGTTCGAGGGTACAAGGGTTAGATACTCGGAAGGGATGATCTGATCGGTGTCGATGTTGTCACCGACGACGTAACAGAGGCCATGGAAGGTCTTGGCTGAGTCCGTGTCCGCCGCAGAAGAGACGGCGGCGAGTGGCGGAGCAAAGGAACGAAAAGAAACCAAGGGTTTGAAGGAGACGGAGGAGGCGGAATGTCGATTGAGGAATGAAGAACGTAGGGGGGCAAAGGAAGGCCTATGAGAACAAGCAAAGGTTCGGGTCAGTGCAGGGTTTAGGGATTGCAAAGAAGCCGCCATGGCTGCGTATTGATAGGAGGAGCTCGGGAGTCAAAACGACGAACAGAGGAGGAAATGTGGAAATAAAGACGAGGAAAAAAAGGTGTTTCCCCTCTTACTTACAAAAATTGCCATTCCATACCTCATCCATTTTGTAGCAAGATCTCTGTGTAAGCTTAATGGGCCTCTAATGGGCCAACCACCGAATGCCATTCCAAGAGTTAATTACATAAACAGCCCATGTTCATATGTCGATGATAGATTGACAAAATATTTTTTTTTAAACCCACATGGACAAAATATCGCTGATAACAGCTATTTTCACTTTAAGGTATACATTTATCTGAAGTGATAAGAAATTTAATTTTGACCACATTGATGTTGAATTTATAATATTTTTATCAAAAGATTAAAAAAATATATGAATACAATGAATATAAATGGGTGTAATCACCGTAAATTTAATATTATAATCAATATGACCAAGATTAAATTTCTGATCACATGCATTTAAAGTCACACCTGGAAAAAAATATGTCTTGAAGTCAAAATAGTGAAATAAAAGTATTTTTGATATAATGGCTTGTCAACGAACTCTGGAGAAAAAAAATGTCAAGAAATATATACATATATATATACACACGTGTGTATTAGAGAAAAACAAAATGATCATTCGTACTTAAATTATTATAGACATTGTTACAATACAACACTGAAAAATCAAAGCTGTGACGAGTTCAAGTTTTATTAGGGAGTATCATCTCCAACACCAACAAAAAAAAAATAGAAAATAAAACATAACAAACAGGTAAAACTTGTCGACAAATAAGAACAACAAAAAAAAAAAAAAAAGCGACGCATGCAGTAAAAACGTAACATTTTTCAATAATAGACAATTATTTCCATTTATTTACCACAATCTTTAGCTTAATCAAAAGTCAACTATAATCAGTATAATTGATTTTTTTTTAAAATTAATTGTAAACAACCAAATCACTTCACAAGCCCCGAGTCGAAGGAGACGCCCGTAGAAGGCAACCACATATTGCCTTGGATGAAACCTGAAACTGTGAAGCCTTGAGCCTCGGCCAGCGTCAGAGAGGGGTGGTACCCAGACCACTTGACCCGACCCGAAACGGAAGACCCGGGACCGGAGTTTCCGTACTCACCGTAGAACAAGGTGTTAAGGGCGAAACTGCCGGACCACGGTGACCAACCGGATGGGTGGATCGAGCCGTCGATGAAAGATTGCATGACCACCGTCCTCGAGTACTGCTTCCATGGCCGACCCAGGTACGTTTTCGACCCGCCCAGACTCTGTTGCAACATGATTCTGATTATTCATCATGTTTTTTTTAATGGGTTTGACGAAATAAGTTGTTTTTATTTTTACATTAAAATACTAATTTTTAAACGTTCATGTTGTTTCACCGGATCATTAGCAAACTTCATAACCGGAAAAGCAAAGCAAAGGTCAGGTGGCCATTTTCGGTTTGAGGTGTTTGGTTTATGTATATATGGTTTTTAAAAGTTTCTATTTTTTTTTTTTCAAATTTTACATTGGATTCGATTTAATTTTTTTCTATTTATTTTTTGTTTTTATCGATGAAAAGAAATTTTCTATTTTTTTTATAAAAAAAATCGGTTTTTATATTCATTTCGGTTCATTTTTTTAAGAAAATGATATCTATTCGATTTTTATATAGCGTTAGCTTTATTTGGTTTTGCATTACGGAACTGAAATAACCGGACGTAGTAAAATGTTAAGATGATTCATTACCTCGGCGGCTCCAATTCTGCAGTTGTGGATGGATAGACCGGTGTTCTGATTAGAACTGATGCGTCCCTGAGCCGTGACGAAGTTGTTCTGTCCGGAGAGAGGTTTACGAGCCATTATGTTGCAGCTCTGGAACACGGCGGCGGAGTTGCCGAAGATGAAGTCGACGGTGCCCGAAATGTCTGTTTCCCGGTAGAATTGCCGCTTCGAGTGCGTGTAAAGTGTGTCCTGGTAACCTTCCGCCGAGCAACGGTACACCACCGCTCTGTCCGCCCCGACTCGTAGCGCCACCGCTTGTCCCGCGTTCGGACCGGCACTGTTCACGAACGTTATGTCCCGAGCTATGAACCCGTCTCCCATCGCAGCTGCCGGAATAATACGTACGTCTTATATATAATTTTGCTATAATATTTCCGTTTCCTTAACCGTGTATATTAAGTGGATTCTTGAATTTAGGCCTTGGTAGAAATGTATGTATTAAGAGAATATTTACTCTTACATGTTATTATCTTATAGACAATATATGTCTCTCTTTCTTTACTTTTTTTTTTATATTATATATTATGTAATTCTTGTCGATAATCATCTCATATATATAATATTTTTGTACCCTTAATTATTCCATATGTTAAGTGGATTCATGAATTTACTCCTTCATTATATTAGTATTATATATATAGTGGATTCGTGAAGTTACGTGTGATGTGTATTTAATAGTTTCTGAACTCGTTAGAAATTTTACGGAGAAATCCTCACCGACAGTGGCAGATTGATAAGTAGTCCAACCACCCCGGTTACTCCTGCTACCTACAATGACCGTCTTGCCCTTTCCATCTCCAACCAACATAACGTTCTTCTGCTTGGTCGGGATGTTGATGTGCTCATTATACGTCCCCGCTTTCACGTGAATTACGCTTGTGCCACTCCCCGCCAACGACGCCGCCAACGTCAGCGCCTCTCCGACGCTCCTGTGGGTCCCACTCCCGTCTGTCGCTACCACCGCGTGGACCCTCAGCTCCTCCACCGGAGCTTCTAGAAGCTTTCGCGTGGAGGAAGAAACCCACGCCGGAAAATTCTCCGACAACAATTTCCGGCGACCCTTAGCCTTGGCTGACACGAAAAGATCGAGAGAGTTGGTCAGTAGACTGCTGAGGTTTCTCGAGACGAAGTCCATGGTTGTGTCGTGGTTATGGAACTTTGACTTTTCTTGGAGACTCTGCTTGCAGGTCTCTTGATTCGTGAGAGCCGCACTTAGCCACGTATGGACGTCGTCCTCGTCACTGTGTCCGCGGCCATCGAAGATGCGAGACAACATGTCGAGTGTGTCGTCGAGTAGTTCTCGACAATCGTTGGCTGGATCTACCACGTGGGTCGGAGCGGTTCGGCGAGAGATGGTGAGATTGAGGGCAAGAGAACGAGCCCATATAGCCCGGTTCATGCTTTCTTGGACCAACGTATAGAACTCTTTCTTCATGTTCTTGTTGTGTCCGATTCTTGATGGCCCTTCGGATTCATGTTCGTCATGAGCATTGTGAGTTGGCTGTCTTGAGAATCTTGAGAAGTGAGAGGGCGAGGGATTGGATTCGGACACAGCGAAATCATTAAGACACAAGAGATTTGTGATGAGAAGAAGTATTAATGGTGATTTTCTTGGAATTGGTTGACTTGAAATGCTTGCCATTTTCTACGTTAAAAGCTTTGATGATACGTGAGAGATGGAGGGTGTGGTAGAGAATTATGTGTTTTGTGCGTGATTACATGTATATATATAGATACACAATCATATGCTAAAATCCCTATATATATATATTAAAAATTTGCGCCAAAATATACTTTATAAGAATTCGTCAGTCATTAGTAAATATTTTGACCATAAGAGAAGATTATAAATGTCAACGTACGTACGGATGTTTGTAATTTTATTTACGACTCGATAAAACTTCCGTACATACCCATTTTTACAACTTTACATATAAGACAGTAATAATCACTTGTCTTGCTGTTACTATGTTTTTCAAAACCAAAATTACAGATAAATCACTTTTTTTTTTTAATTTGTCGGCACTCTCTTGTTATTTCTCCATGCCTTTTTTCTTTTCCAAAAGATTCTATCGAATATATAAAATTAACAACTCGAAATTTCATTGATTAAACGTTATACCAACTTGGCCTTTTTAACGATAACGTTTGATAATCATTTTGTTACGTTAATTAATTAGTTTTTTTTTATAACGTCAATTAATTAAATTATTATCAATGAGATTAAAATGTAAACCTTAGGAGGGAAGCAAGTGCTTTAGAAGGGCTTTAGATGTTGCCAAACTGTCCAGAACAAATTTATTGATATTTTCCGCTTTAATCATACAGAGTCTTTTGTGTACGTGTGCGTATATATACGCATATATACATGGAGCTTCATGCTATTCTATATAATGTATAATCAAATATTATTTATTCATTGCTGAACACTATAATAGAAGGCTTTACATGTTAAAAGCAAACCGCGTATAAGTTGGTAACTTTTTCAATACAATTTTTTTTTTTGGTTAAATTTCAATACAAATTTTAATTATACAGTTATATATATATATATATATATATATATATATATATGCATGTATTTGTGCGTATGCATTACGAAATAATATTGTCCTTCATTGATACAGAGCGGCCCAATAATTCACATCATGCCCGTGCGAGGGGGCCTAGTTAGTTTATATGTATATATTTTTATTTAATTTACATTTTTATTTAATGCATATGTTTATCATTTATCTAGAAAAAACAAAGACTCAAAAATATAGATAAGTCCTGACACAGACATATATATATATATATATATATATATGTATAATTAATTAATTAATGCTGATCATTGCTTTACACCTTATTTTATGCAAAAAAAAAATTAAAGGTAATGCCTTATTAGTTATTTTTAGGAAAAGGCCTATAATTCAGCATGGATAATGATTCTACCAAACGCATATTATATATATATATGTATGGGATCATCGAATATTTACGAAGAAACCAGTAGAGAAGATTCAACCATGGATATCGTCACTCACTCCAAGTGTCCCTTCATGTACGTAGACCGACGAACGATCTTTTTTTGGTTAACTTCCAGGAAAACCTAATTTCCAATAATCCCAAAACACTAATCGTCACTTAATGCACGTTTATGAACTTGCCACTTGTTAGGGTTTCTGTATAATGTGAACTTTTCGTTTTATGATTTTCTCCACTTTATTATGGTTATGGTTCGAGTATATATAATTCTTTATTATTTACTAAATTGCATCACAACATCAATATATAAGGGATTGGGAAACACTATATATAGAAATAGAATGCAAACTCATTCTTGACATTATTATAAATACTTATGCCGGAAATAGAAATTACTTTCTCGTACGTAAACGGTTTGAATAAGATATCATGAAATCTATCTTCTATATTATGGGATGGGATTTGTTGCTTAGTCGACATCAACCCATATAGTTACAATAAAAGGTCCAAGTGAAACATATATATATTGATACGGTTGTTGAAAAAAATAGATTGCAAATTCATTTATTAATGAATGAAAAAATTTAATTGAATGAAATATCTTATGTGAAGAAAAGAAACGGCTGTAACATTTCAATGGGGTTGCGCCCGTTCCCATTTCTTTCTAAGTAACTACGTGTGTGTGTATATATATATATATATATCATATATGTATATGGATGTGTGTGAAATTCACCACTCGGACCACTTGCTTAGGAATCTTTGATTTTGGTTACAAACAATCAATAAAAAAAAATAATATAATTAACATGAGGTGTTTTGAATAGTATACACTTGGCATCTAGAATGTATAGATAGAGATACACATATGATAGAGTCAGAAGAATAAACAGTAAAAAGATGAATACACACACTTGACTACAAAAACGTGACGAAGATATGCCAACAGACAACTTGGGGACAAGGAAGAGACGTGTCTTTTGACCGCGACCTGCAATACGAAGCAGCTTCGGAACGATGGAAGATTGGCCACTCGTTAACGCATCACTCCCTCCCTAATTTATGAGCCATATATATATATATATATATCCATATATATATATCCATAATTAATTAATTACTCTCTCTTCCCATTAAAAGGAACCCGTCTCAATTATTTTATAAAACACACAATAATTTATGACAGCAATTGCTAAGCCGAAAATAAATAATAATTGATTTTATAGTTGAAGGGTCTCATCTCGGTGCATGATTTAGCTTGTTTACATGTTACTTTCAATATCATCATCAGGGTCTTAATTAGTTAATAACGTTTAGTTTCTTAATAATGGCCACAGCTCGTTGATTTACCATTAAGTTCAAGTTATATATATATAACTCGAAATAATCATGTGGAAAAAAGAATTAGAAACAAAACGCCTTCATTTGTCTGTTGATGTAGCTGTGTATGGACCATTAACTAGGTGTGGAAATCGGACTCCAAGCCTTTTTTCGTTGTGTTTGTTTCCGCCAAAGGGCATCTTTGACGGAATTTCATATAGTGGGAATTCAAACGCTTGGAGAAAATACATGCAAATCGATTTGAACTCGTTAGTTTTTTCTCTTATATATATATATATATATATATATATATATATATAAATAAATGTTCTTTTGTATCAATCTTTATGCATGAAAACGACCAGGTACGCCATATATATATAAATGTTCTTTTGTATCAATTTTTATGCATGAAAACGACGAGGTACGTCATTCCGTAGACCCCAAGTCAATGTGCTAAATAAACTAAAAACATAATATATATTATATATATAAATTTAATTCGTAAAATTTTAAACGCGGGAGGTTTAAAAGTATAATTCATGGACAAACTGTGCAGGAAAAAAATTAAACGAGATATAACCGAAAAACCATGGTGTATATATATATACACACACGCACGAATGCGGATATACAAATACATAAACCCTGTCGGCTAGCCAAAATAAACAAAATAGATGGCTAATGATATATATAACAAGTTTCAAAACACAGTAATAGAAAAGGATAAAAAGTAATAAGCTTAAGGGCCCACTATCCTCCAACGAAGGCAAACGAGACAGATTCGAAACTTCAGAGGGATGAGACGCAAGTTAAACTCCACCACCACGTACATCGTTACGGAATCAGTTGTGCTTCCTGCTGTTTGCATGCCGTGCGACGTCCCCGCCCCATCCGAACCTCATATTGTTCCGACAACAAATAGGTCCTAACAAGTTTCATTACGATTTAATCTAGATACCACTATCATCTATTTATATAATATGTTTGCGTTGTTTCTTAATTCAACCATAAAGAATTAGAAAATTACATTTTATGTATATATTTGTATATTAGGTCATTTGTAATTATTGACCACAATTATTCACATTAAGGTTTTGAATTAATATGGTTTTTATTTTGAGTTTTTTTTTAGTTTCTGGATTTTGGTTTTTTATTTTTTGATTCTATAATATTTGAAAACTGAAAAAGAGTAGTTTTTGATTTTTCATTGATTTTTTGATTCTATAATATTTGTAAAAACTTGGATGATAGTTTTTTTTTAAAATTTTTGGATTCTAAAAACTTCAAACATTCAAGGCGTAAACAAAAATTATATTATATATTGATTACGACATTAAATCACAATATAGCTGTTAGAAAATTTCTAACAAAATTATGTCAAAAGACATGCCAAAGTAGAAAGAAATATGAAGACTAGTTACTCATGTTTGAATAGTTCAATTGGTAAGGGACGGAATTATAAAGTTTCTTTTCAACCTAGGTTTGAATCTCCATTTGGAGAGGGTATTCACATGGACAAACTAATCATATCATTGATATAATTCTCAAATAAGAAAATAAAATGAATCTAAGTAGCAATGTAGTATGTATAATCAACGTATATAATCATCTCGACTAAATAGCATTCATGAACATCATCGAGTGACCTTCCATCACTGGAATCAATGGTTCGAATAAACTACTGTCAATTCATAATCACATCCGTATGAATCGCATATAACGAAACACTCACATTATAACCAACACTACGGGAATATTGCACCAATCATCATACGTCATTAATTTGGAGTTCATTTACTAATTGAGGAATTTAAGGGGCAATCTTTTAGAAAATATGGATTTTTTTCTATTTTTCTTTTTAAATTGCAAATAAAATTTAAATTAATAGAAATTTAGTATTTTGTTAAATAATATTAATCATTATTATTAATTTTGTAATAAACATGAATAATGCTATTGTAATTATATGGGATAAATTATGGATTTGCGTAATAAAAATATCCGAATTTATAGATATTGAGCTTACGCTTAGGGTAAATTTTACCAACCCTACTTGTGGTGACTTGAATAATAGATAAACCATTTCGTACATTCCTTTGAGCAGTGCTTCTAGGCTTTTCGATTTGATTTCGAGGAACAGAATCGTAACAAACCGAAAATTTTAATATTTTTTTAAACAATATATTTTTTATAAAATCGAATTTTTTGGTACCGAACCGAATTTTATAAAATTTTCGAAAAATTAAATTTTTTTTAAGAAAATCTAATTTTGTTTAACAAAAATCGAAACCAAACCTTACCGAATCGAACCGAATAATATACGGTATTAATTTGATACAAATTTTAGAATACCGAATAAACCATTCCCAAACCGAACCACTAAAATTTGGAAGAGAATTCCGAAATGCCCACCCAGAGGCCAGAGGCCTGAAAGCACACTGTTAGTGAGAGCTCATAAACATAGTGAACCCTCTTTCCCAAGGGGTTTCTTTCTGCCCACGTTACGCGTTTCCAAGAAAATACCCAGAAAAGTCGTCTCCTTTACATGTATTTCTCCATACCCCATTAATGGAACCATCAAAAAGCAACGTTTTTATCCAAAACAACATGGAGAATCACGCTTCTCATTATGGAACTGATACAAATGGCTTAAGAAACAGCTCATGTGACATCTAAAGTCAGAAGCTTTAAGAAGAGGAAGAAGAAGAGAAGACACAGCTTCTCTTCTCGCGTCGCTGATATTTTCAGTGTCGGGTATGGCTTTTCCCGACTGTTTACCCTTCAAAGGGGATAAACTAATTACGGAACGGAGTCATCGGTGGATTGACAAAATCGCCCCTTGTGGGCACCCAAATTTACGCCGCTTCGACTAGAAGCTGTTCTGTTCGTGTTCCTCGGACAGCAGACCACGTACGGCTCCGAAGTCTCCGTAGAGAAACGGGGAACACACACCAAAAAAAAAATGGAAGCCATTTTGCTGAGGGGAGGAAAGTTTAGCCCTTTTTCCGTTTGGATTTTATTTGAGGCTTTTGGTTTTTCTCTTTTCGCGAAGCCACAGCCGTGAATTGAGTTGGCATTTTCCGGCTTGTGGTTTTTCTCTTTTCCCGAAAATGTCCGACGAAGCATCCGTGAATATTTTTTTATATTTTTATTTGTATTTTTTATATATTTGATAAAAAAATAAATACATAATTTTTTTTTATTGGTTATATATGCATAACTTCTTTTATATATTTAAATTTAATGGTTTAATATTTAAATTTTATAGTAAAATATCATTTATTTGGTATTTTTATAATATATTTTTCTCGCAAATCGAATCGTTTAACTCATAAGATATGCGAGTCTGAAATATTTTTGGCTCGTTTGATATACAGACACAAAATCCTGTCTGTTGATGAAATTGTTGTCTCAGCTGAAATATTATTATAGAATATATGTGTATTTAAAACACGGAAATCAGAGTCTTGAGCATAAACGATGAAAAAAGAAAAAAGAAAGACAACGGAACACTGATTGATTATTGCTGGTACGGTGATAATAGTAATCATAAAGCTGAATGGAGAGGAGAGGGCGGATGAAGACGATGTTACATCCGGGAGATTAGAAGCGGGATCGAGACGGATTCGTCCTCGGCCTCGGAGAGATCCAACTCACCGTAACGCTCGAGGACTCGCATCCTGCAATCTTCGGCTGCCATAAGTCCCGTCGAGTAAGCAGCGTGAACTGAACCCGAGTAGCTCATGCTTGTCGCCTCCCCCGCGAAGAATAGGTTATCCACCGGCACCCTCAGCTGCTCGTAGAACTCGTGAGGTTTGCCCACAATGTCGTAGCTGTATGACCCGAGCGAGTTGATGTCCGACCCCCACCTCGACACCAGATATTGTACCTGCCAACGAAACCCGAGGGTGGGCATTGAGTAAAACGTGAATTTCAGATAACGTGAGACACTTGGGGGAGAGAGTATTTACAGGCGGGGATGAGTCGGGGAGAATTTTCTTGAGCTGCATGAAAGCGAAATCGGCGGCTGCTTCGTCGGACAGTTTCTCGATGTCTTTGGCTAGCTGCCCAGCTGGCATGTAAACCAGAACGGAATGACCCGTTGCCTTGTGCAGGTTCAAGAAATAACTACAGCCGTAGGTGGTATCAGCGACCACCCCGAGAAACTCAACGTTCGGCCAGAAGACCTTGTCAAAGTGCAATATAATCTTGTTCTCAATCCCGACACCGATACCATCAATGGCTTCTTGCTTCCAGTTCGGAAGCCTCGGTTCGAATTCTACGATTCCAGCTTTCAGGACCCCAAGAGGTACAGCGATAACAGCCGCATCCGCAACAAACGTGTCCCCGTTTTCAGTGGTGACCTTCACTCCCTTGTAGTCCCTCATGATCTTGGTCACCCTGCAACAACAACAACATGCAAGAATATGCATTCAATCAAGTGAGAAAAAATCGAGTTATATACCAAAAAAAAGGTGCCCAAGGTTCTGTGTCAAGGCATCTTCTTACCTGTGGCCAAGTCGAATATCAAGACCTTTGGCAAGAGTATTGATGACAGGACGATAACCTCTAACCATGAGACCATGTCCACCACGCAGCAATTCTTCCTGCACATTTTGGATTTGGAATTATATATATATACACTTTATTGGAGGATGAACAACTCAAACATATTAGATTTATAAAATGGAGTAACCTCGTCCCAGCACTTAGCAGAGATTGTATCAGAATCAGCAGCAAACCACCCTTCCATCCGGCACAAATACCACTGAAGCACATTGTGTCCAAGCCCCTCCAATCTAAAAGTAAAAATCCACCAATTGATCATGAAACCAAAAACAAATGATGCACAGATTTATGAAACCGAGATGTTATGTTTCCAAATTCCAGACCTAAAGTCAGGTCTCCTCTCAAATACAATAGAAAAGGCCTGAGATATCGACATGTCTTCCACATACTCCTCTCTAACTTTGTTGACCTGCAAATGGAAAATAACAATACTGTTGATGCACTCAAAACATAGAGAAATTCAAGAAAAAGGGTAAAGATCTATTAGATATGAAGGCATACCTCTTCCAAAATGCACTCGAAAATTTTGCCAACCTTTGAAACCAACTCTTGAGGAACTTGGTTTCCATCCGTATCATACAAAGCAAAACTGCATAAATTTGTTTTACCATTATGAGCTTAATTCGTTGAACTAAAAACAAACAGAAACTCTATATCAATCACACAATTCTGAAACATGATCTTCAGCATACACCAATACAAAAATAAAATAAAAAAAGCAACGGCAGAAACACCAGATAAAACGAATTGTTAAGGGGTTTTGATAACATCCACAACTATACTTTTCACCCTAATTGAGAACTTTCGAGTTCAGGATCATATCAATATCGGCCTCTTGTTAGAGTATTCAAAGATAACCGATCAAAACCAAATGCAATATACTAGTATAAGATCAGACCCATCAAATTTCAGGATGAATGAAAAGAGGGAAAACAGCAAGAACCATGGAATTGTCATACACACCTCTCGAGATCATGATCATACAGGACAGAATCATCACCACTGGTACGGTACAGGGGCAGCCCCAGTCCCCCAATCAATGATGCGAGAGGATTCTCTTTGCATACACCATGCAACCTGCGACAACAAACAATGTCGTCAGTCGTCACATCAGTACCACTAACAAGAGATGCAGACATCAGTCATGGACAGAAAAAATTAAAGAGACACGGACCAAGATGCACCAAGATCAACAGGGAAACCGAACGAGTAATCGGTATGAATTCTCCCACCAATCCGGTCTCGGGACTCCAGAACAACAACCTGAAAATGAAAATACCGACCCAGAATTGGTGAAGTGAGGAAAAAGGGAACAAAATTTCAACAAGAACACAACAAACAAATTCATTCTCCATCGTCACGGGATAACGTAGAGAGGTCAGTCTTGTATTACAAACCTGAAAGGAGGCATCTTCAAGGGTCCGAGCAGCAGCCAGCCCAGCAAAACCAGCTCCGATCACTATTGCGGAAGATGACCTTGTCTTCCTCATCTGATCAGTTGAGAAACAAACGGCTGCAACACAGAAAATACGAAACCCATCAAGTAGACATTACTGTCTAAACCCAAACAATCTACTGTGGATACACCAAACTTAACTCTTCACCGAAATCGATAATTACGAAAAGGATTTAAACCTAGGGATAGAAATTTTAGAGAAAAAAAATACCTGTACGCGATTGACGATCACTCTT